TATATATATATATATATATATATATATATATATATATATATATATATATATATATATATATATATATATATATATATATATATATATATATATATATATATATATATATATATATATATATATATATATATATCCAAAGCGCAGGGCGCAAAAGGCAATTCCACTTTTGTTATTTTAAGGATGGAAAAATCGTGCCTGCCGGAGCGCATGGTCTAACAGGGTTGAGCTCATTCTCTTAATTACTTATGGGTGCGTTTTGAGAATAATCAGAGTCTCATCTCCCTTTCCCTTTAAGAGTCAGTAGCGTAGCTCCCTAGCGCATTTGCCATTTACACAGCGGACTTTGTAAGTGGAAAAACTGAACGCTACACTACAGAGAAAACAGTTAAACAGAGCATCTACAGCACGAGAATGAGCCTCCTCATTCTTTACTTTCACTTTCGCTCTTGTGGATAGGGAAACATGTTGTACGCACAAACATCTACTCATTCATTCATTTTCTTGTCGGCTTAGTCCCTTTATTAATCCGGGGTCACCACAACGGAATGAACCGCCAACTTATCCAGCAAGTTTTTACGCAGCAGATGCCCTTCTCCGGGAAACAGACATATATTAGCCTATACATAATTAATTTTGTTTGTTAAGTACAAAGATTTGTTTCAAAACTATTTCTAAATTTAGTTCTAATTTCCAGCAAACAAATAAATGAACAATAATATGAAGTGTGTTCAAAAACCTGAGTTATATCCAAATACACTTGCTGTGCCCCATATGGTCTAAAACCTGACAGGTGGACAAATCTAAGCTTGGTTTTAATAAAACAAATATACATATGCAGATAACAAAATAATACTGCTAATAACGATAACATTATACAAAAGCAAATTGTCATGAATAAACTAAAAAAGCCCCCCAAAATGAAGAAGGGATGGAGACAGTGGTATTTATGTTTATGTAGGCTAGAGAATAATCATTTTTAAAATATTTTCATTCTTTAATTATATTAATTTAATAATATTTATTTATATTCTTTAATAGATATTTGCGTTTTGCTGTACATCCTGTGTGTATTAAGCAATGTATAAGCGAGGCGCACAACTAACGCGCTCTGCGCTGGACTTCAGACCTGCTTTGATCTGGTCTATTGTGCAGTCTATTATAGTTTCTCAAATAAGCATCGCACCAGCAATGTGCCTTAACATGCATCCTTTTTTAAACCAGAATGCCTATGGGCGCATTTATGAGCGCAAATGCATTTGCTATTTAAACAGCATGCAGCAAAACGTCAAAAAGTCTCGCGCCTTGCGCCGCATTGCGCCAGGTGTATGATAGGGCCCTTTGTCTTTTTTTGTAGAGTACGAATTACAAATTTGTCAATTTTTTTGGTCAGCCAGGGGATAAAATTAACTAAGGCAACATGATCATTTTCCTAATTGTACACTGCTAAAATAATTTTTAAATATGACGCGACCCCCAAAGAGCTTGCTGAGGCCCCCTTGTGGGCCGGGATCCCCATGTTAGGAACTTCTGCTTTAATGTATGTTAAATGCATACATTAAAAACAAAAATATGCTTAAATGGTTGAATTATTTTTGTACTTGTTTATTTAATTTTTTTTTTTAACAAATTAATTAAAATTAAGAGTTGGACATTTGAATTGAGACTTTGAGAGCCTCTGCTCTATTGAATGTTTTGACAAAATGCACTTTTCTGCACATCTCTCCCAGTCTGCTAAACAGAAGAAAGATCTAACAAATAATCAGTGCGATTTTTTTATTTGATGGACTGTCTCATTCTGTTTGCAAATTGATTTTGAAGCAGATTCTCTTATAGCGAAAACAAATATTCAGATTCTGCGCTGCTGAAAACAATTACTTTAGGCTTTCTCCAATTCCATTTGGCATGTATGAAAACAGAAATGCGAATAGAATGGTTTTTAGAGAAGAATTCCTTTTAAATTATTTGTTTTAACTACAACATCTAAATTATATTTGACGGCATTAATAACTGTGAACAGTTTTCTTTAAATCATGACTCTATAATTTGTGATACTGGATCACATAACAAGCCATAAGTGTCGATGTTTGAATACTGAGATTTACATGTGACCTGAAATGAGAATGAATACACTCTTACTGATGATTTGTTAAGATAATAATTGGCCAATGTACAACTATTTAGGAGGCACAGTGGCTTAGCGGTTAGCATTGTTCTCACAGTAAGAAGGTGAGCTTTGAGTCCTGGCTGGGTCAGTTGGCATTTTTGTGTGGAGTTTGCATGTCCTCCTTGTGTTGGTGTGGGTTTCCTCCAGGTACTCCATCTTCCCCCACAGTCCAAAGACATGCGCTATAAGTGAATTGGATGAACTAAATTGACCATAGTGCACTGTATAAGTGAGTGTGGGTGCGAGAGAGTGGAGGTGTTTCCCTAGAAGGGCATCTGCTGCGTAAAACATATACTAGACTAGTTGGCGGTTCATTCCGCAGTGGCAACCCCTGATTAATAAGGGACTAAGGGTTAAAAATGATCTCACAAATTTAAATCAATGTGTGCAAGAGGATGGCCTTGTTTCTAGTACTTGAGTTCGGGCTTGTTATTATATGTATATATTATAATGGTGTAATGTCTCGGTTGTGTTTTTAAAAATGTCGATTCCTTTGTTTTTATTCTTCTGCTACTGCAAGTGACGTATCTCTGTAAACCAATAGCGTTCAGCTGCTTGTCTAGCTCCGCTTTTTGGTATTTTGTCCTGTCTGGCACCCTTTGCAAAGGGTGACCAAATAGTGGTACAGTACAGTTCGCTTTTAGGTTCTCTTTGACAGAGGAAACCGCAATAAAAGCAGACCAAACCGCACCATACCGTCCTTTACCACTCAGTGGAAAGGGGTCATTAGACCCACGGGACATGTGTACTGCCTAATCTTGGCCAGGATGCTTCTGTAAAAGAATTTTTTAATCTCAGTGTGTCATTTATTCATTCAATTTCTTTTTGGCTTAGTCCCTTTTTTATTCTAGGGTCTCCACAGCAGAATGAACCGCCAACCGCAACCCATCTCTGGGAAACATCCATACACACTCATTCACACTCATACACTATGGACAATTTAGCCTACCCAATTCACCTGTACCACATGTGGTGGCACTTTGGACTGTGGGGCAGGCATGTGCACACATAGGGGTCAACCTGTGCAGTGCACATGCCCTTTTTAGTCTTGGGTAGAAAGTGCCCTTCCAAAATGATCAAAAGTGCCAGAAAACGCCAACTGAGCCAGCCAAGGCTCGAACCAGCGACCAGGTTATAATAATAACAACAACAATAATAATAATAATAATAATAATAAAAACAACAATAATAATACTACTACTAAGCTGAAGGAAAATTAACGAAAAACTATTTGAAAATCTGGAATTTGAGAGATCAGTAATAAATCAAAATATTAAGCAAATCACCTTTAAAGTTGTCAAAATAAAGTTCTTAACAATGCAAATTACTAATCAAATTTTTAAGTTTTGATATATTTAAAGTAGGAAATTTACAAAATGTCTTCATGGAATTTAATCAGCAGGTACTTAACAATATTCGAATGATTTTTGGCCATAAATAAATCAAATTTAGACTTGATTTAGACAATGATAAGCTCTGGACTTTTTTACTCTGTGTTGATTCATAAGCCAATCCCACAGCAGAAAAATGCAACAATGGGAATCTAAAATGTGTTTATATTAATTTTCGGCCAACAAAAATATATCGCCCGAAAATGTTATGCCATTTAATGGACCCTCTAATTTTTGTGGCTTCAGTCATTGTTGTGACACTCTTTTAAATTTGTTAATCGAAGTAGTAACAATTTATGTTGTGTTGGAATTTCTAGCCAATTCCATGCGTGTTCAATAAGAAAGGGTCTGGAGAGTGTTTTCTTCAATGCCAAAAATATTAGTAATTTATTAATAAACGAATAATTCGATGACAAAGCTCTGGGTTGCGTTACCCCAATGCAATACAAGAATTACATTCAAGAGGTTCGCAACTCACATTCATTTCCTGACTCCAGCATATATACACAACAGATCTTAACAGGTGGAGTTTTGGTTTAAAGTCATTCTGCAGTCCTTTGCCTCTTGTACCCCCAGACATACTTCCTCTTTCTGCAACCCTTCTCTGCATACCAGAACTGAACAATTATGTGCATCCTTAATATATTTCACAACTTCTACAAGCATCATGACAACTTGTGACATGTCTAGACAGCAGTCTGGAACAACCCTAAATTTTTTCTTTAATATATTTCCTCTGGTCAGCAGTTCCTCTAAAAGTATGCAGCACAGTCAAAAAGAGGAAGCGTGTCAGGTCAACATGTGCTTTTATACAAAAGAAAAAGACTGATTAATATGTTGTTAGTCTAAACATTTTTCTAATAAAAATAAAGACACAAAAGTAATACAAATAAA